CTCCTATGCTTCTAAAGCATAGGTGGGAACCCCCCAAGGTCTTAATATGCTTGTGCAAAAAACTAGAGTTCTAATTTTTTTCTTTAATAATACCTTTGAGGACTTTCAAGCTTGGGTAAAAAGGCTAATGGTGTCAGAACATTACAGGATGAGAAAGTATTAAGTAAAGCTGCCCATATCAACAAATATGCACCAATAATTTTTAAACATGAATCTATGTCTTAAGGTGTGGAGTTGCTGAGTATACAAAATTAATGGGGAATGATATAAGCATTTAGAGTGATCCGAGCATCTAGGATGACCACCCCACTCCTTACTCAAATGTCGGTGGACTCCTTCATAGTCTTTTAGTTAGCGCCTTTAGTAATTTATACATGTGAGGTATCTCCTCATGCTTCTAAAGCAATGGTAGACTACACACCGGGCTTATCTTGGTTGGTGGGCGAGCATAGGTGGGAACCCCCCAACTTACATTCGATTCTTCTCTCAAGCGGCACGACTCCTTCAGTGAGGAGAATACAAGTGTGCCCCCCCCCCCCCCCCCCCCACACATTTACCATAATCGCACAGCATAACACAAAACACACATACACGCAAAACAAGGGAGAGTTTGCTTGGCCTTGTATGCTTTGGAAACAGTGGAACACAATTTTTAGCCTTCTAATCATGGGCTTGGTATATGCAAGTCCATCCTTAAGATAAACTTACATTTCATCTATCCAAAATAGGTCCTACTATCTGTATTTTGAATCTATATTGACTCGGGTGACTTAGTGGGTTGACCTTGGCAAGATTTTACTTGATTTGACCACAGTTGATGACTTCTGATTGTATTGTGATTTCACCGAAGTTTTAACAAACTTTTTATTAGAGATTGATGAGTGGAGAAATTGAACTACAATATAAAGCAATGACTAACATAACAACATCAAGCCTTTATCCCACTTCGTGGGGTCGGCTACATAAATCATTTTTTTCCATTGTGTCCTATTAAAAGTCAAATTCTCATTTAAATCTAATAAAAAAAGATCATTTCAGATATTTTCTAACCAAGTCATTTTAGGTCTGCCTCTACTTTTCATAACATAAGTCAAATCTAATACTTCTACTTTCCTAACCGGGTCATCGGAAGGCCGCCGTATTATGTGACCAAACCATCTAAGGCGACTCTCTCTAATCTTATCTTCTACTGGAGCTACTCCAACCTTTTCACGTATATGCTCATTTCGTATCATATCTCTAAGGGTAAAGCAACTCATCCACCTGAGCATGCTCATCTTTGCCACACTTAACTTAGTATTATGCTTCTCTTTTAATGGCCAACATTCGGCACCATAAAGCATTGCAGGCCTCACCACCATGTTATAGAATTTTCCCTTAAGTTTGAGGGGTACTTTTCTATCACACAACAAGCCCGATGCATTCCTCCACTTCAACCATCAACCTTGAATTATGATGATAATATCCCCATCTATTTCACCATCATTCTGAACAATAGATTCAAGATATCTAAAATGTGTACTCTTATTAATGACTTGATCGCTCAAAGTCACAATCCCCTCACTAGGCCTATTACTACTAAAATTACACTCCATATATTCTGTTTTAGATCTACTCAAGCGAAAACCTTTATACTCTAAGGTTGACCTCCATAATTCCAGTATACCTTCAACTCTCTCTTTAGTCTTATCAACAAGAAGCATACCATCAGCAAAAAGCATACACCAAGATACATGCTCTTGCAAATGTCGAGTGAGAACATCCACGACTAAAGCAAAAAGAAATGGGCGTAAGGCTGATCCTTAATGTAACCCAACCGAAATAGAGAAATACTTGATCAAAATATCCTGTATTTTGAACACAAGTAATAGCTCCTGCATACATATTTTTAATGATTTGAATATAAACGTTATTGACTCATTTCTTTTCAAAAACTCTCCATAGCACTTCTCTTGGAACTTTATCATATGCTTTTTCTATATCAATAAATATCATATGTAGATCCTCCTTATTTTCTCTATATTTCTCCATCAAACCTCTTAATAAATGTATGACTTCCATAGTCGACCTCTTAATAAATGTATGACTTCCATCAAACCTCTTAATTGATTTTGAGAAACATTAGTATCACGCCGCAGCCTATGCTCCATAACTCGCTCCCATAGTTTTAAAGTATGACACATTAACTTAATTCATCTATAATCGCACAATCTTGTGCATTATCTTTATTCTTAAAAATATGAATTAACACACTCATTCTCAACTATTGCCAAACTCAGAATCATCAATGAGAACCATCTCTTAAGGCAACAGATCGAGCTGAGCCTATTACAATCACAACCATCCCTACTTGATGATACTTAAAGGCAACATTGCTTCTCCTACCCTCAACACATGACTGGCTGATCAACTACCCCGAACTTGCCCAAGCCCAACAGGACCCACTCTTAATTATATGTAGCATAAAATCTTCCCTAATAGCTATGCAATTTTATCTCTCTTATTACTCAATTAGCAACACCCGTCAAAGATTTTGTTTCTCAATCTCGCTTCAATTAAGGATGTTTAAACGGCTGAGGGATGCCTAGAATTGTGAAGAACTTGTAGAAATTATACTCAATAGAGTTTAAAACAAATAGCCTGATATCTGATGACTCAACGACAATAATTATAGAATATCAAGTTGAGCAAGAATTACTAAAGGGACTTTTCATGCCTTCCAGTAAGTAGGACTTGATCAAAATTCATGTCAAATTCAAAAGAGATAGATGATGTATTCTGGAAAGACACAATAGATTCTCTCCTGCCCGCTTCTCAGCACGCCGGCAGCATCTCCTGATCTCCTCTCACTCAGCCACATCTTTCCCTTATGTTATTCAAGCATAACCTCATGCCCTCCTCCATCTCCTTGCTCCTTGTCGGTGAATTCCCACAGCTTCCTCCTGTCACCGACGAACTCACCCATCATCAAACCTCATCACCTTCCGACCCGCTCCCAACTTCAGCTTCATCATCCCCTCTCCATCAGCATTTTGTATTCCCAATCAAATTAAAAATACATAATCAATTGAACTTTTTTACAACCAACCAAATAAGATAGATATTCTTAAAATATATGCTTCTTCAAAACATGCGACTAAACAGCCTCTTGACGAAGAGATTTTTCTTTCCTTTCAAGTATAGATTCTCATTTTGTTCTTAAAGAAGTTAAGAGGTTTTTAAATCTGTATACCATCCTTCGCATTTATTTCTTGTGGATGTGGCCTCTAATCTTTGCAAAGGTGGCTCGTTATGTGGCTTCAAGTTTGCCACGTTCATCTACCACTGTAAAGAATTGCATTTATATAACAAAAATCTTCAAAAAAAGTAATCTAATACTTTTCTAACATACACTCAGACTTAATATATGACCATCTAAACAATTTACAAGATATACCAAGCAGAATTTACTTGTTCAAATTTATAAGATCCACTGAAGAAAATTTTATAAAAATTCTACTTAATTTTAAATGTCCCCTACATCAAATGTATGTTTTTCCAAAGCTCCCCATCCTCTAAAGCTCGTTGCTTTCAAAATATGAAGCGTGTCATATAAATCTCAGCAATCAAAAGAAAGAAAAAAACTGACGAAGTAACAATAAACAATAATGATAGCACAAATATGCAATTCACCTTGATCTATTAGTTGGAAGCTTTGATGATCAACCAAAGGGTCTTGGATTCGAAGCTTGCGTATGTGATGTGTGTGTGAATTTTTCTTAATTAGCTCAAAAGTCCAAAATAATAATAATAATAATAGACTATAACATATATTCCTTTTTAGGAGGAAGACAAATTTAATCTGGGTGCTCGTTTGACTCCTGGGGGATGAACAATAATAAAATTATTATTTTCACTTTATATTTGAAACAACTCAATGCATTTGAATGAAGCAATGGAAGATTTGAGCAACTTAAAACTTATAAAACAAAGCCATCAATCTAGTAATTTTTTTTTTTTTGTTACTTAAAGCAACCAAATGAACCCTTAACAAAAAGAATTAAATAAAGGACCAATAAAGCAGGCTACTAATAAAATATCAAGACAATAATCCTGCATTAGATGAATCACGGACAGAAATGATTCCAGAAAAAATCAGTCATGTTTACAATGAAAATTCCTTCAGGATTCATTACAGATGATGCAGGGAAAGAGAGAGAATTTGGAGATCAAAAGTATAAAAAGAACAAAGGTTTTAATACAATCCACCTGCATTCCAAACCCCAAACAAAGAAAGTTTGAGACATTTTTTTTTTACAAATTAGTGAATTACATATTAAGTTTGAGACATAAATTAGCCACAAAGACACAATCTAATCAAAAAAGAAAATATTCAAGTTATGAAGCATAATTTTGCCCGACAAACAAAGCACACAATGAAAATTTAGCAACAAGTCAACCCCTAAGTTTTTCTCTTTATTAAAAGAGGGATGACATATTTATGCTGCAGAAGAAGAATTATGGTTCTAATTCACAATAAAATCATAGAGAAATTTGCAGTGGTAGCAACAAGACATATCCATAAATTGGGCGATCATTAATAAAATTCTTGTGTATTTTTTGTGCATCCGCCTTCCTTTCTGTCTTTTATTTTATATTTTTCTCTTGTGTTTGCATAGATCTCACCTATTTGCCAGCTCAAATAATTGCAAAGAATTGACCAATTAACAGCAAAACCTCAAGAGTTCATAGAATTCCAGCACAAGATGTGCTGCAAAGAAGAGAATAACCAATGCACAAATTATATCTAAAATCTAATACAGTGGTTGGTTAGATCTAGAATATCTTCATTTTTCTGCATACAATCTGCAAGGATCCAGCTATAAATTTTCGCTAACTCCCGACCAATATTACAAGAATCAGTAACCCCAGCAACATATACCAAACTAGTGATGCCTTCTATCCTCATATGGTTTATCTCAGAGGAATCAAAATAAGAAAAGAAAAAAAAAAGCAGCGAAGAAAAAAAGTTGAGAACTTTGAATTAGATCAGATAGTATATCTCATTCAATTAGGAAGATAGAACTTTTGTACAGGATAAGATGTGTAGAGGGGAAACAAAGAACATCAAATAGATTCAAATATAAAGCCCCAAATGTGAACTGTTCCGATCACAAATCCCGATCAGGTGCTAAATAATAGAGATAAGCAAATTAAAATAAGTGTAAGAAAAGAGAAGTAGAAGACCGTTGAAGAGGAGAACCAAATTCCTTTTTCAGCAATTCTTCAGATCTTTTCTTCAAAGACGGAGAACGGTACTCTGCAGGTCATCATTCGGTGGCGGAAGGAGGTTGAGATCGAACGGAAGGGGTTTCCGGTACTCCGACGCAACGTCTCCGTTGTCGACGACAGAAGACGAGGAGCCGCAGTCGCTGTGGCAGTCTTCGTCACCGGTCAGAACACGTAACGGCGCCTGATTCGCCGGAGGCCGGATGTGGATCGAAGGCGGCCGGGGGATAGAGAGGCGCGGACCGCTGAAAGACTCCACTGTACTGCTCAGACTACTCGATGTGGGACGCGGCGGCGTCGGCGCTGGATTCGGGAAAAACTGCGCGTCTACGTGGATACCACCGGCGATGAGAGGAGGGAAGTTAGTCTTTGCCTTACAACCGCGGAGTTCACGAGCTGCCACATCGTAGGCGCGAGCTGCGTCCTCGGCAGAGTCAAAGGTGCCGAGCCATACCCTCGTCTTCTTCAAGGGATCGCGAATCTCAGCGGCAAATCGGCCCCAAGGACGCTTGCGAACTCCCCGAAAGCGTATCTCTTTCGGCGGCGGCTGTGGAGGTGCATCGGTCAGATGAGCTTCTCCGGCAGCCAGCGTACGCCCCTTCCTCATCATCGTCGTTAAAGTTTCTCCGATGAAGATCCGAACGATGCCTCGTTCGATCGATCTATTAGAGAATAATAGATAAAGAACGCCTTCTTCTCCCTGTTTATCTCCTTATTCAGGAAAGGAAGAGTCTTGAACTCTTCTTCTTCACCATCTCCGCTGCTTCTCTTTACATCCTCCAAGCCAACTTATTGCTTTCGTCTTCTACCTCTCACCTTTTCCATTTATTTTTTCCCCCTTTTTCAATTTAAGTCAAATTAATAATTTCTTTTACTCTGCTTTGGTTTTTGCGCGACGCGAATACAGAACCCTTTCGCATTTATTCGATGGTTTCTTACTTTTACCTCGTGATTTTCGTCTTTTACCCGCCCGCTTGAAAACCAATTTATTCTGGGATTTATTTATACTCATCTATCCCAATCTAAGTATAAATAAGTTGAGCCGGCTCGTGAGTCAAATTTGTTCATCAGCAGGCTCGAACTTGGCTGGTTAACAAGCTCGCAAGCCGAGCTTATCGAGCATCGAGCTTGAGCTCGAGCCTATAATCGAGCTTAAATGATAATATATATATATATTATTAATTTAAGAATTTTGATAGGCTTATTACATATTACATGTTATACTAAAAAAATATTTGCCCGCCACACTTTTCGTACTCTTTTTTGCCTCCTCGTCCCTAGTTGCATCGTGCCCTCCCGCCTCTCTGCTCCCTCGCTCTATCGAACAGGTGACAGATCGAAGATCAAAGCCCACGCCTTCAGGCCCTAATTGCTCCGTCGTCCTCCCATCCGAGACGAGACAGAGCCGTGCAAAGACCACTCCTAGGTCTCGCCCTCTCTCGTGCGACTGCAGCGGTGAGCCGACTCCAGGCTCTTCCCTTTCGTATTTTTTCCTTTCTTTTACTGGTTTTATTTCCTCCTCTTCTTTCTTTAGTTCTTCTCCGTCATTTTCGCTCTATGTTAATTTCTCAAATCAACAAAGTGACGGTTGAGTGCAAAAATTTGTCTCTTAATCTTCGAGCATTGACATGGTTGCATCATTATTAACACGGAGCTTCATCTCAAGGTGGAAAAAATGGCAGCATATCAAGGTTGTTGTTAATCTCTGATATTTTACTTATTGATGCAATTTTCTTTACGTGTTATCTTATCTTTGGTTGGTGGTTTCTTGTTTATTTCAGATGCTTGTATATTGGTCTTTCCTTTTTATGGTGTTTATGATGCATCTCTAAAAGCTTTCTATATTTGCATGGTTTTTCTTCTAATATATGCCCCAATGTTTGGATCATTTCTCTATTGGTTACTTGTGGGCTCACATATGTTCAAGCTAGTAAATTCTTTTTTGGTAGTCTAATGAGATTTATATTTGCCATTGGACAATGATTAATCCCCTAATTCCAAACCATTTCCTCTTGGACGACCATTTTGGCAACCACGGGAATCGCCTGTTCCTTATTTCTAACATGGTTTTTCTTTTGATTTGTGGCCTAATGTTTGGATTATTTCACTACTGGTTACTTGTGGACTGACAAATGTTGATGCTGCTAAAATTTTGTGTGGTCTAATGAGATTTATATTTGTCATTAGACGATGATGATAATCCCTTAATTCCAAACCATTTCCTTTTGGACAGCCATTTTGACAATTAGGGGAATTGCCCCTTCCTAGTTTCTGAAAGTTTCTAAAGCTTATCTCAAATATATTTGAGTCTTAGCTTTGAGAAGGCTTTCTTTTGGCTGCTGACAATTATAGTTTTGCTAGATGCCTTAAATTATAACTGTTGTGCTGCTTATTTTGGATGTATATTTGAATGTATATTTAGGGTTTTGATTCTCTTTATTGCATTAAAAAATGATAATTAGTTTTTAGATGTAAATTAGATGTATATTAGTTCTTTGATTCTCATACTTGCATTTCAAAAAAAAAAAAAAGTTTCTAGATGTAAATTAGATTTTTCAATTCTCATGCTTTTATCATTTTTTTTAAGAATATCAACACCAGTAAGTATGAAAGGGAGTAATATTGATCCTATAAATACTAAGACTGGAAGAGTTAATGATCATCTTCACTCTTATGTTGGTAATAAACTTGTGAATGATAATAATACACATAATGATGACAATGACATTGATGAAGATGTTGAAAAGTGGACTAATGAAAATCAAGTGAATGATATTGAAGAAGCTGATTATATTATAGGAAGAAATAAAATGAAAAAAAAAAGATCTAAAGTTTGGGATGAGTATAAGAAAGCTATTCTTCATGATGGGCAAAGAAAGGGAGAATGTGTTGTTGCAAATCAGAAATCAAGATTGAGATTGTGATTTTTCATGATAACTAAATATTATTGTTATGATTTTATTTTTTTCTCCTAGCATATATTAGATATTTCTAATTATTTCTGTGTGTATTAACATTTCAGAGAAATTATATAGTACTCAAGATTATGAAGACTTCAAGACAAGGTAGAATAGGATTTCATGTAAAAGAGTATGTATATCTTTATTTTTATTTCTTGAGTATGAGTAAGTGTGATTATAATTGGATAATCATGCACACACACAAAGGAGGAGAGTGATAATTTTTTAAAACTAATCTTACTATACAACATATAATAATACTGTATGATTTGATAAGTTTTTTCTCTAGAATGCAGTTAATCAAATCATGGCTTGAATTTTTAAACTGTACGATGTCAAGTCGTACAAATGACTAATAGAGTACAAAATTAGGTTTGTGCTGAACAAACTTATTTATTTTTTAACTATTTGTATAGTATGATGTGAATTCGTACAAACGACTAACAGAATATGAAATTAGGTTTGTACCTAATTATATTGAATGGACACATTTATTTATGAATTATTTGTACAATACGATGTGAATTCGTACAGAAGACTAACATAGTAGAAAATTAGATTCGTACCAAATCGTACTGAACGAACATATTTATTTTTGAACTATTTGTATTAGTAATTGTGATTTGTAAAATGATTGACAAAGATGAAATTGGGTTCATATCAATCATACTGAATGAACAGATTTAGTTTTAACTATTTGTACATTATGATGTGAATTCATACAAATGACTAATAGTGTATGAAATTGAGTTCGTCCAAGTTCGTATCAAATGAAGCCCTGATTTTTGGAATTGTTCGTATCGATATGATCCCACAAATCGTATAGTACAATATAGGGATGGTAATTGAAAATTTTAGTTTTTGGATGTTTTTTATGTGTTTTCTATATGAAGGGTCCTAAAACTATCTCAACTATCATTTGCTTCGAATTTTTCTTGAGAGGGACGAATGAGAGTGTGTTTGGGAGAGATTTTATGAGTGAAGAGTGAGATCTAGTGAAGGGGAGTTATGAGGGATTAACAAGGTTGACCAAAGTGAGGGTTTTTTTTGTCTTTTTAAGTTTCTACCCAACTTCTTTGGAGGCTCTTGAAGGAAGATCTTCAAGATTGGATCAAGGTTCTCTGCCTTCACTAGCCAAGTGAAAAAGGATGATATAGTATGCTGCCATCATTTGAAGAGTATAAAAGGTGATGATTCTTTGCCATACCGGATTAGTGGGAGATATTTTGTAAGGGCTTCTCAGTTTTGCTGTGGGGGAAAAATGAGAGTCACTATTATTTAGTGCAAAACTAGAAAAGAAATATGGGATAGACTTTACATAACTTATGAAGGAATAAATAAGGAAAAATAAGTTAAATTCTGATATGTATATGTGGTTTACTCAGATTTTTATTTCATTGCATACTTTAGGAAGTGAACTTACAAATTTAAAAAAGTTAATAAAATTTTACGTTGTTTCATACTACTTATGACGTAAAGATAACTACCATAAATGAGTTTAAAAATCGTAATGTATATTCTACTGACAATCTGCTTGGATCATTTATTACTTACTAGTAAGGAGTGAATCAAAGACAGATCGATGTAGATGACAAAAAGAAAGAGAGAAATATAGCTTTGAAAGTTGATGATTCAAAGAGTGATCAATCAATACTAGGGATGAAGAAGATATTGTATTTATGACTAAGCAATTAAAAAATTTTCTTAAGAGGAAATAATGACAATGTCAGTATTAGAATAAAAGTAAGTTCAATAAGAATCCAAAATTTACTAACAAAGTTATTTGTTATAAATGCATAAAACTTGGACATATAAAGAGTGAATGTCCAAATCTTAATGCTAATCCTAATAAGGAGAAAGTTGATGAGAAAATAAATGTTAGAAATGGAAAGAAAAAAATGCAAAGAGCTTTATGGGCTGACTTAGCTTCAAAATCTTCAGAAATATAAGAAGAAGATGAGATTATAAATTTGTTTTTAATGACAGATAAACTTTAGCATTCATATCAAGATGAGGTATGTGACCTATCCTACGATGAATTATTTAAAGTTTCTGAAAAAATTCATAATGCATAGAGAAAACTTAAAAATTTGCATGCTAACCTTAGTATTGGTATTTGAATTTATAAAAACAACATGAAAATCTTAGAAATCATCATGCAACCATAGATAACAATCACATGGTTTTGTTATATAAATTTGATGATTTGAATAAGAAGCATGAACTATTGAAAACATCTTATATTGAGCTTGAAAATGATTTTAAAGAATTTATGGGTGAATCTAATCAAAGCAAACATGATTTGAAGATTAAAAAATCAATTTTGAAAAATGCAAACTCATATCTTCAAATAAAATTAAAAGCTTTTAAGAAAAATATGATAGCTCCCACACTTGAATAATTTTGCAATCCTAACCAAAAGCATATAAGTTCAAAACCTAGGAAAAGATATTATAACTCATATAGATTAATAAATTATTATTTTTATGTTAAATGCTTTTTATATTGAATGTTGGGAAATATTTTCCACACTTGCACTATTCAAAGTAGAATATATTTAGTGTGGAGACCTTGTTAAGATAGTTGCTATTTGCATGCTTCATATTTTTGCAACTTATGTAGTTTTGATGATTCCAAATATTATTATTCAAATGTGTAGTTATCTCCTAAGAATTTGGCGCGGGGAGGGAGAAGTGATGAGATACCTATAAGATGTACTACGAGGTCACTCTATGAAAAGTGCTTAAGGAAACGCGAACAGCTCTATCGGGGGATTATCGTTTGGACAAAAAATTATTCGTAACTGGACGAAAAATTTTACAGATGAATGATCGTCCTCGACGATATATTTATTTCGTCTGGACGGAACATTTTTCCAGAGGACAATGCCATTGATGATAATTTATCTCGTCTGGACAAAAATTTTTCAGAACCAGATCGTCCTGGACGATTATTAATTTATTCTGGACGAAAATTTTCCAAGAGGACCAATCGCCATTGAGATATTTATTTCGTACTAGAAAATTTTCCATAAAAAAGAGACCAGATGCGTCCTGGACGATTATTAATTTCGTCTGGACG